ACAACAAAGAAATCACCGTCAAGCTACAATTATGATGTAATGAAGGCCTCAAAATTAACAGCTTCTTCGAAATTATTGAATCAACAACATCAACAATTCCTATTTTATCATCGTTCTCCTATTTCTCGTCACCAACATTATTATTATAATAAATCAGCAAAAAAAATTATTAACAACAATCTTGTTGCAATTAACAATAATCTTAACAATGCCAATACTAACAATATATCAAGATCTTTATATGTTTAACTCTCGCTAATGAAAACACTGTAAATAAACATTAAAAAAATATATAAAATATTAAAAATTAAAAATTAGATTTTTACAAAAAGGACAATCAATGTATATTAGCAAGAATACTGATTATCCATTTTTAGAATAGTTTAAGTATAATTAAGTATAATAAAAAAAAATTTATTTATGCAAACCTGCAAATCATTTAATTGTTATTATGTTAATTAATTGGTTCAGCGTATTAATTATAATTTATTTAATACTTTATAGTTTATATTAATGTAAATAATATTAGGAAAGTTATTCTCTAAATTTTTTTTCCCGCCAAAATAAAAATTTCAAATTCGGATAAATGCAGTTAAAATAAAAATGTTTATGAAACCCATATGGTATAATAACTGAACACCAATTATTCATTAGGAGCTACAATTTGTTTGAGAATAGAACTATTTCAAATATATAAAAAAGAGAATTGTTTGTTTGCCTCTTTAAATTAGAAAAAAAAAAACGTCAAAATAAAGATGCGTATTATAATTATGTGTTATTGTTATGTGTTGTTTTAAATGAAGATGAAAAAAATAAAATAAATATAATTCAAATAATTCGTTCGTTTGTTTGTTCGTTTGTTCGTTTGTTCGTTTGTTCGTTTGTTCGTTCGTTTGTTTGTTCGTACATTCGTTAGTTAGTCAGTTTGTACGTTCGTTCACTCGATTCTTATTACGTTTTTAAAAATAAAAATTACACAACTTTATTTTTCCTCACAAATTAGTACATTTGTTTATCTCATGATCGATTTAAACACCAATTAAAAATTGCACACTGCTGTATTTAGCTGAGCATGAATTTTATTATTATAATAATAACAGATTTTGGTAATCAATATTGTTATTATAATGTTTAAATATTAATTAGTCCATCTCTAGAAAAAAAAATTAAATATTTTTATGCAAT